TCAAGCTGTACCGTTTTCTTGTCCAAAGGACTAGGAGCATGTTGAATGCAGTCATTCTTAAATGTTTGTTCATGAGTAAAGTCAATAAGGCACCCCTTCTCTCTCGAGGTTGATTAAGTATATGCAGGGAAAAGACGACAAGATTGTTGTGGTTGTGGGGATTGTCACCGATGACATTAAGGTTTATGAAGTTCTGCCATTGAAGGTTATAACATTGAGGTGCACTAAAACTGCGGTAGTAGGATAGTGCTTGACATTTGATCAGCTTGCTTTGAGAGCACCGTTGGATTAGAATGTGATTCTTCTCTGAGGTCCTAAGAATTCTTGTGAAGCACTTCTATGTAAATGGTTTTGAATTTTGAGGGTATTTAGGTCTATTCATGTGAGTTTTCTGATATATTTGAAAGTTTATAAAAAATGACATTTATGAATTTGGGTGTTAATTTTGGTTATTAATGATAAATACTCCATGAAACCTTTTCTTTTATGTTAATTCTCTTTTTATTTATTTGTTATTATTTTCATAATTGAAAATTAATTATTTTTTAATCTATGCGTGACCACATGTGTGCCACATGAGTGGAGCAAAGAAGTTTTGGCAGAAATTTAACGGGAGGACGACATTGATTTGCAGCATCCATATCAAGGGACTACATTGATTGATTTTCAATTTCAGGGACCATCTTGATTTGGCGAGTCAATTTTAGGGACTATTTCTGATAAAAACCCTAACAATTATTCACAACCACCAAGCACCTTTGAACCAATAGGTAAACCAACTTGTTAGACTAAATTTGCAAATCAAGTGATGTATCACCAATACAAATAAGTACGTTAATCAACACTTAAATAATAATCCAATCATCAACAATCACATCATATAATTTACAAAATTTGGTCTAATAGTTAGTCTTTCGAGCATTACCTTATTTATACCTCTTCCATTGAAAGATTCATTGAATAACTTTATTTGAGGGACACTTTGTGGGACTCAATCTACAATGAATTTTGGTGACTTGATTGTTGAATGTTTATTTTTAATTCATGGATATTTGAATGAATTTCAATAAAATATTAATAATTTACGTCGCATACCAGTATAATGTTTAATGACTAAATTAATGACAATTATATTTCCTTGCTGAAACCACTTAGCGTCTAAGTTAGCACCTTTTTTGAGGAATCATTTCCTCGCTAAATGGCTTATATGTTATAGTGGTATGTAGCGAGACCAACACGCTTATGGACTTGCCATTTCAAATATTCTAAACTAAGATTTTTCATTTATAAGTAAAGAAGAGTATTAATAGACCGTAGTACTAAATTGGTTAAAAACTTGTCATTTTTAACAAATGATTGGATTAAACATTTCTCATAATTTTCTATTTTCAACATGGCAACTTTGGATTTGTTCCATCCAATTTGGTTATAAGTCGACAAACTTAGCACACCTTGGTTCACCCCTCGTCCAAATTAAATATAAAAGTAAAGAAGTTGGTTGGATCAAACTTGAGAGAACTATCAACTCTTATTAATTGAGTAACTCAGTCTGGAATATGGATAGTAATTAAAACGTACGACACGCATCCCTTTATTTAGAAGGAGCTCATAAAGACAAAGTCTTCCGAGTCCTAACTGGTAGAAAGGAAGAAGAAAATTAAACAGTGAAGCACTACCTCACTAGCCCATGCAAACTATTTGTACTTATTTAATTGGTTCTCTTCAACAGCCTAACCTCTTTATTCCACAAATTCAGTAGTACTATGAGCCTGAGGGAATGCTTATGAAAGTCCCGATGGATCCACGGTCCTGCATATTACAATTATCATGTCAGTAGTGAACAATTATTCTGGAGTTCGTGAGAGAGGAGACAAAGAAGGGAATATCATAGAGAAAGACAGAAAGTTACATTACCTTGATATCAACCACTCGGCTGTATAATTTAACATTCTTCTACGAATTCACGGATGAGATTTGAATTGTCTAAGAAGGAGGTCCAGCACTGGGTTATTGCTTGCTCTAGTTCCTCCACTTCATGCTTGTACAGGTGACGGATACTGCTATCCTCGACATGCAAGACTGGGCAACTATGATAATCTCTGGCTTCTACATATGTCCTTGAACTCTGCCGGTAAAACGCGGGGTGTGTAAGTCATCCAAATAAATCCGCGGAGATGCAACCACTTGAATTTCTTTTAGTTGTATAACAAATGAGAATAGGGTGCAAGCAATACTCCTCAGTATTTAAGTGACACATAAGTTCGAAAGTCATTTCTGAACCCAATTTTTCAAGGGTAGCAGTTGGAAGCGCATGGACTGAAAAAGCAGCACAAATAACAAGTCCCCTCCAATTATCATCATCATACAGCTTCTGAGATAGTATCATTCCTACCCTGGATGACTTACTACTCTGGTCGTAAAACCACTCTAGAATTTGCTTCTGAGGGAAACAAAAGTTGTATTCTAGTGAAGGATCGAAATGCTTCAAAACAGATATTGTATGTCCTTTAAGACCGATAATGGCCTCCTTCCAAAGTTGAAGCAACACCACAATACTTTTTTTCCACTCAGCTAAATTATAGCTTCCATCGAGTTGATTCTCAGCCATGATGTGTAACTGTCTATCCAATCATTCTGAATATCTTTCTGCATCATGCTCTTGGATGGAATCCCTATTTTCCAAAAGACAGCGTTTGGAATGGACAATTACATGGTCAAGTGGTTCCATAACAACTTGCTTTTGTTCGATATAGCTCATGTAGTGGTCCAATCTTGAATTGAAATCTTGTCCGCGTACTCTGCTTTAGGACCTGTGTTCAGAAGCAGATCTTGCCAGAACAATTTTGAAACTTCCCAGATTTCTCTGCATTAATGTTCCATATAAATTTGTTAGATTGAAAGAATTAACTTTGTCATGCATGATAACAAATTGTCAGCATATGAAATTAAGTATGGGGCTTTTATATTTAAATATCACTCTTATCTGCGTTCACCCATCACTTTTCTTTATTAAAACTTTTTAACTGCATAAGACTTCTTGAGCTCACTTGCCCGAAGTCACACAGAGTTCTTGTGCAAACAATTAAAATTGTGGTATTTAATTCTACGATCCTCATTGACACTTCAAAAAGTAAATATAGGGAAAAAAAAAAAAAAAAAAAAGAAATGATAAACACACATCATTTTTAGCCTCTTACACTCCTCCGTTTAATCCTTGTCATTAATTCCATTTGATTTATTATTTCCAATGTTTGTAAATAAAACAGGGTGTTTGAGAAGCCAAAAATAGTGTGTGAAAATCACTTGCCAAAAAATATTTCCCTTTCTTCGCACTTCTCTCTCGTACCCAATCCCTTTTCTCTCTCATCCTCTCCCCAGTCCCCAAGTTCCATCTTCCCGCTTTTCTCGAGAACACAATCTCAGATTGCAATTCACATATAGCACTTCACTAAAACTCCCGAGGAATTCTAAAATCGAAAAAAATCGAGAAAAAAAAGAACTCACAACATTATGCATGACATGGAGCTAGAAGAACACCCAAACTCATACTCATGTCTGCTGAATGCAATCCAAACCCAAATCAGCCCTAACCGTTTCCTCTCATGCTTTTTAGGCCCCAAACTCCTACCCATGGAAATGGACAAATGCGCCGAATGATATGAGGAGGAAAAGGCCTTTTTCTTTGTTTCTCTCTCTCTGGTTAAAAGTGGTGTGGGTGTGGATGTGATAGTATTAAATAGGAGCAATTTTGGGAGAAAAGACGAAAATATGAAATTAAAGCGTGGGGTGAACTAAGATAAGAGTGGTGTTTAAATAAAAAAATTCTTAAGAATAAACCTGGATTGAGGTATTAGTGCATCACGTTGAACCGTTAAAGCTTCACGAAGTGGACTTTCCACCATGTTTTCAACATATGTTCGTGCCTGTACATAAAGTAGAGGGAGTGGTTGTAAGCCATTAAAGATACTGCATGCATAGAACCACATATATATTACAACATGCATACGTAAAGGAAGTATGCTTACCTGAAGAAGAACTCGCCATTGCTGCAGAAAATGAAAAGGAGATCTTCTACACTCAACAACCAAAAGTTCCAGCTTAGAATAGGGTTACACTCAAAAAGGCATAGATGTTGTGAGCGTAGGGACCTCCTAATATATATAGCCAATCACCCTTAATATCAAGCTTATCAACTGATGCCCAGGATATTCCATATAATTAGGGTTTCTATATAGTCCTACTTGGTATTGAACTCTTGTCAAAACATAATAAGGTTACTTGAATATAATTGCATGTTAGGACTCTTAATCTTATAGCCAAATAAGAATGTGATTTTCTTGACGTGATAACTCATAAACTGAGTTACAAGTTTGTCGAGAACAAGAAGTCATTCTCCATGACACTCACAAACTTACATTCTCCCACTTGAGTGTCCAAGAAGAATGACATTACATTGGTTAAGATTAAGGTGATCACTGAGTCCCCAGAAGTTGCAATTAAACCTTTAACAACCTGTCACTTATAGCTTCGATGTTGTATGTAATTCCTCTTACATGTGCATTTTATTGTCACAAGTATGTAAGTCATGAGCATTGAATTAAGCCTCATGCAAAAGCATGGCTCATAGTATTTCAATAAGATAATATGAGAGCAAAACATAATGAAAACATCCAATTAAGCAAAATGAAACATAACAGAAAACAACAAATGGGTGTACTACTCCCACTCATTAACAGAATTAAAATCCTCACATTCCCATATTGTAGACATGTTTCTTGAACACTCCCATTGGTAAGCCCTTAGTTATTAGATCAGTTGTCATAGAATTAGTCCCTATATGAACTAGGTTGATTAACCCTTTTCTGACTTCATCTCTCACACGCAAATACTTTATGTTCATTAGTCTACAAGTGATAGACCTCTTGTTGTTTTGGAGAAGAAAATTGCAGCCTTATTGTCACAATAAATAGTTATAGGTATTTCAATTGAATCTACAACCTTCAATCCCATGATAAAATTTCCCAACTAGATTGCTTGTTTGGTTGCAGTGTAACAACCAATAAATTCAACGTTATAGTTGAGGAAGCAATCACTTTTTGCTTGGAACTCTTCCACGAGACTGCACCATCAACAAGAAGAAAAACATATCCACTTGTAGATTTTCTATCATCAACATAGCCAGCTAAGTCTGAATCAGAATAAGCCACCATTTCCAAATTCTCAAGTTGATATACCACTGCAACATTTCTTGTTCTTTTTAAGTACCTGAGTACTTTCTTTGCTGCAGCCCAGTGAGAATTCCTAGTATTAGACTGAAAATGCCCTCGAACACTAACTACAAACCCCAAATCAGGCCTTGTGCACACTTTAGCATACATGATACTACCAACAAGTGAAGCATAAGGCTTATCTTTCCATTCTTCTCAAGATCATTTTTAAGGCATTGATTAGTGCTTAGCTTGTCACCCTTTGCAATGGGAAGCTCGCCACTTGTACATTTTTCCATGTTGAATCTCTTCATGATTCTGTCAATATAGGTCTTTTGGGACAATCTTAGCATTCTCTTGGATCTATCTCACTCAATTTCAATGCCAAGAACAAAATGCGCCTCACCAAGGTCTTTCATATAAAAACTTTTAGTTATGTGCAAGAGAGTTAAGTCTAAGCTAGCTAACAAAATATCATCCACATATAATACCAAAAATATGAATTTTGTGCCATAGACCTTGAGATATATACAGTCATCAATCTTGTTTTCTTCAAAACCAAAAACAGAAACAAGTTGGTCAAATCTGATGTACCACTGCCTGGATGATTATTTTAACCCATTTATTAAGTTTACAAACCATAGACTCCTTCCCTTTCTCCACAAAACCTGGTGGCTAAACCATTACTATTTCTTCAAGCAAATCATCGTTAAGGAAAGCTGACTTGACATCCATTTGATGTAATTCCAAGTTGAAATGGGCTATTAAAGCCATAATCACCCTCAAGTAGTCTTTGGATGAAACTGGTGAGAAGGTTTCTTTATAGTCAATGCCTTCTCTTTGTGTGAAACACTTAGCTATGAGTCTAGCTTTATGTCTTTCAACCTTCTCCACTGCATTTCTTTTGGTTTTGAACACCCACTTGCAGCCATTGGGTTTGGCATTACATGGAAGTGGCATCAATGCCCAAACTTTGTTTTTTTCCATAGCTGCAAGCTCTTCAATCATTACAGCATGACATAAATTTGCTATCGGGCTGCTGACAGCTTGATTAAAAGTGAAATGATCATCATCATCTTTAATATTGTACTCATTATCTTGCAAATAAACAAAATCATGTAGGATCACAGGTTTTCTTTGCTTGTTTGACTGTCCAATAGGCAGCTGCACCTGTTGAAAAGGCTGAGCAACAATAGGCTCAGGGACTTGTTGTTCAGGGTTGTATTCATGAACTAGTGATTGCACTACTTCTGGAATAAATGTAGTATTCACTGGCTGAGCATCTTGGAGAACAATGGGGAGAGAAAATGAATTTTCTTAATTCACAAGCAACAATGCATCAATTGTTGCAGGATGCTGATCAAGATCGTTTCCAATTTATTCAAAATATGAGCTGCTGTGTTGCACTATTCCTTCTTCCAGATCTTCAATGAATTTTGCATTGTTGGTCTCCTAAATTCTAGTGTGAGAATCAGGACAATAGAATTTAAAACCTTTAGATTTGTCAGCATATCTAATAAACTTGCAACTCACAGTTCTCAGATCTAACTCTCTCTCTTGAGGGTTGTAAAAACATGCCTCAGCCCTACATCCCCAGACATGGAAATGATTGAAACCTTTCCTCCTACCTGTCCAAGCTTCAAAAGGTATAACTTTGACAGACTTGCTTGGAACCTTATGAGTGTATAGTTGGCTGTTTTGAGTGCTTCTCCCCACACAAAAATTGGAAGTTTAGACCTCAAAAACATGGATCGAATCATGTCTTTCAAGGTCCTATTTTTTCTTTCTGCCACTCCATTTTGATGTGGAGTCCCTGGAGTAGTATACTGAGCAACAATCCTGATGCTTCAAGGTAAGATGCAAAGGCTCCCTTATGTTGTCTAGTTTCCGTAACTTACCAAAATACTCACCAGCCCTATCAGGTCTCACTATTTTAATGTTGTTTTCAAGTTGGTTTTCAACTTCAATTTTGTATAATTTAAAACAATCAAGAACAGAAGACTTTTCAGATATAAGAAACACATAACAATATCTCAAAAAATCGTCAATGAATGTGACAAAATACGAATTACCACAAATTGTTTTATTTGGGAAGGGGCCACACACATCTGTGTTTATTATTTCTAAAAGTTGGTTGCTTCTTGTGGATCCTAATTTTCGGTATTGGTCATTTTTCCTTTGAAACAATTGATACAAGTTTGGAGTCTTTCAAAATCAAGATTTGCTACGAGATTTTGTTTTGTTAAAATCACAAGTCTTTCCTTGGATATGTGGCCGAGTCTTTTATGCCAAAGTGAGGGGGAATTTTAATTTTTAAATAGTCTTTTGGAACCAATATGACATACTGTAAAGCATTCATGTAAATAATCACATTGTAATTGCCACAAATCAACATTAAGGAAGGCATAACCAAGCAAAGTATCCAATTTATTCGAATGAAAAAGTCTAACACTTTCATTGTCTCCAATAAAAGTATAACTTGATTTAACTAACTTAGAAGTTGAAATCAAATTCCTTCTCATAGAAGGTACATAGAGTACTAGACTTAAAAACAAAATGAAACCAGAAGAAAGCTTTAAAGAAACACATCCAATGGACTTGACTGCTACTTTGCTCCCATTTCCAACAAAAACATTGTCAACTTCATTATTTCTCTCCTTTAGTTTTGAGAAGCCCTGCATGGTATTTGTAATGTGAGTTGAGCAACCAGTATCAAACCACCAACTAAAAGGAGGAACATAAATTAAATTTGACTTGAAACAAACATAAACATTGATTTCATTACCTTTTTTAACAAGCCAATTTTTTAAACCAGTGCAATCTTTCCTTGGATGACCAACTTGTTTATAGAAATAACAAGCCTTTGGTGCATCAGGAGTAACTTTAAACTTTTGTGATCGTTCAAGGGGGTTAGCATTTTTTAAAAGAAGAAAATTTTGATTTTTTCTTCTGCTTACCAGCAGCCACAGATGACTGATCAATTGCAACATGTTTACCCTTTGCAGTGTAAACAAGATTCACAACCTCCACTTTATTAGTTGATAGCCTCAACTCTTCACGTGCATACATGGAAATTAAATCATCGATGTGCCAGGTTGCTTTCTGAGTGTTGTATGACACTTTCAACTAGCCATACTGTGCATGTAAGGTGTTTAATGCCATATACACTAAAAACTGAAAAACTGATGTTAATGGATGTTCAAGGTCTTTCAACTTCTATGCTATGTCTGAGATTTTCAGAATATGTTCTTTCACACTACCAACACCATCGAACTTCATGGATGTCAGTTTTGTGAGAAAAGTCCCAGTCTCAGCTTTCTCAGATTCCTTGAACTTGTTTCCCATTGCATCGAAAAACTCTTTTGCACTGTCACTCTTTGGAATGCCACCTTTCACATTGCTTGTCCCTCCTCATAATCATAAGAGCCATTCTATTTGCCTTCTCCGATTGAGCGTCCGATTGAGCAAACTTCAATCTTTGTTCTACTGTGCTTGTATTAGTTAGTGCAGTAGGTTTGTCTTCTCTCAAGGCCAAGTCAAAGTCCATCACGCCAAGGGCTATCTCCATTTCTTCTTTCCACTTCTTATAGTTGGAACTAGTTAGGGTTTCAATGTTGGAGAAGTTAAGAGAAGTCATAGCTGCAATAAACCATAAATGTTCGTTATTTATTCTCATAAGCTCATCATTGAAAGTTCAAAATATGAACAATTAATGGTATCAAAAATCATATAATTCCAGTCACATCCTTAGATCAAAAATTGATTATATAAGGGTTTGCACAACTGAAATACAAAAATTCATATTTGTGACACAATTTTAACACTTTTGAGCAGATAAAATTGCATCAATATTAATTTTTGCATCTCACTTATACACCAAAATAAACATGACTGAATATAAGAATTCTTTAGAATTATCTCAAAATATATTCACCGTCAGTTTAATCATTATGTTCAACTTTGAACAGATAAATTGAAAACATGATACAAACACTTTTGAGTTGGAATTGATCTTGATTCACAAAAGAGATTTATCTGTCAAGTCATTTAGTGACAACAAATCATTTGGTTTTGGTTCTCCAAGGTCTGGAGATACTCCTTCGCTTTCCTACAAATAAAATTTTGCAGAACAAGTATATATATGTACACACTCACACACACACACACACACACACACACACACACACACACACACACACACACACACACATATGTGCGTGTATAAGTGAATTAAGATGTTAGTTTAATAACATGGTGTATATTGGTAATAGGCAACAATTATATCTGTTTCAATATGCGGAAGTCTTTTATCAGGATCATGAACTTTGTTAATTATATTCTTGTGCTTATAAGGATTCTAAACACAACAGTGTGTGCTCTGATACCACATGTAAGCCATTAAAGACACTGCATGCATGGAACCACATATATATTACAACTTGCACATGCTTACCTGAAGAAGAACTCGCCATTGCTGCAGAAAATGAACAGGAGATCTTCTACACTCAACATCCAGAAGTTCCAGCTTAGAATAAGGTGACACTCAAAAGGGATAAGTGTTGTGAGTGCAGTGACCTCCTAATATATACCCAATCATCCTTAATATCAGGCCTATCAACTGATACCTAGGATATTCCATATTAATTAGGGTTTTTATATAGTCCCACTTGGTATTGAACTCTTGTCAAAACCTAATAAGGTTACTTGAATATAATTGCATGTTATTAGGACTCTTATTCTTAGCCAAATAAGAACGTGATTTTCTCAACGTGATAACTCATAAACTAAGTTAAAGTTTGTCAAGAACAAGAAGTCATTCTCCTTGACACTCACAAACTTATAGTGGTTGCTTGAATTTGGATTCAATTACTAATACTTTGATTAATTCTTCTTAGTCTTGCTTGTATACCAGACGGCTCTTGCACTTCAACTTCCACGTCTGGGGTACTGGTTCTAAACAAAGCGCTAACACCTTGACATTGATTCAACTTATGTTGTGAAAAACATGCACATAGGATGTGCAATACAACTAGTTGCTTTTGTCCAAGGTAACTGTGTGTTTTGATACACCTATGCATTATACGACTTCCAGGGGAACAAAAATCTGTTGGTTTTTCAAAGTTTGCTGACTCAATACCAACTCGTGGGTTATAGGTTTTCTAACTCTATCA